AATTTAATATATTATATAATATATTTATTAAAAATTATTATTTTTTAATTTAAAGTTAAAAATTGATAAATTTAAAAATACAATCATATATATAAGATGTAAGAATTGGTTAAATCAATTATATTTATATTATATTTTAATAATTAAATTAAGACAAATATAAAAAATATATTAAATCAAATGTATATTAATTATTTTTCATTACAAAGTTCCTTTTTAAGTTCTCCAATCCTACACTCTGAAAGGTAGAAAAGAATTTGCGTGCACCATATAATTAACTTGAGAACCAACATTCAAAAGGAAATTTGTAGTGCTCAATGTGAAGTTACCAAAATAGCCACTAGCAATTCCCACTTCCATCACAAAAGACAAGTCATATACAAAGACGAGACACAGCTCCTAATTAAAAAAGAAGACTTGTATAGCTAGCAATATGAGAATTACCAAACGCAGGACATAAAACTGCATATGGCAATAGAATTTAAAAGCTTTAAAGTATACTAAGCTAAGGTTTTAATTTAGTATAGTAATTAGGTAATACATATATAATTAATGAATTAGCTTTTATTGGTTAATTAAAAGCACGTAATCTAAAGAGTGTTTGGCAAAATTTAAAAATTACTTGCTTTAAAAATAACTTTTCTATTAGGTGTTTTATTTAAAGTTTAAATATATAATAAATAACTTATATAAAATAATATTAATTATAATAATATGAAATAAAATAAGCTTTTTTATTATTCCTATTGGACATGACACTACAAGAAATAGCCCCTATCAAAAAAACTGCATTTAATTGAACATGCAATCAACAATAATGATAATTGGAAATGAGAATGAAATTGGAAATGAAAATAATCGGAAATGAGGATAATCGAAATCAAAGTTGGAACTAGAATTGGAAATGAGTTTGTGGAGAAACTCTTGGAATCAAAATGAGAATGAAATCAGAAACAAGGATAATCGAAATCGAAATTTGGAATTAGAATCCGAAATGAGCTTGTGGAGAAACTCTTGGAACAAAAGGAGAACGACATTGTTTTCTAGAAGGTTTGGGAAAATATTTTCTGGTTTCCTCTGTTGCCTTTTATTTTATTTTATTTTATTTTATTTTAGTTTAGTTTCACGCAATGTTTCGAACCCGCCCTTTTTTGATTAATTTCTTGCACTTGTCAAATAAAACTCAAGAAATTACTTGTGTTTTGTAAAATGTTGA